CTTTATACAGAAGTCAAAAACAAACTCTTTACAATCTTCGCACTCCATATATAGACTAACATATTTTACATAGACGCGGGATGCGGGTAATCGCGGTACGAATCGAGGGGGGTACTTTAGGCGGGTAATCCTCCGGTTGTCGTTGCGCTGGAACCCCCATCCCCTATACTACTTTCTGCCCTTGGGTGTACGGATTACGCAGGATAGTGTTCTAGCCGAAGCATCAGGGGAGAGACTAGCCGGCCCCCAGACCATATCGGCTAATCCCTTGCACTCTGCCACGCACTGGCACGTTGATTTGAAATGGAAAAATAGTCTAGTCTATCTGATGCATTGTTTTCACGGCTATTGTTGTGCTAATTTCTTATAACCCGTGGCCGAGTGGAAAAAACTTGGGCTGCAATGACACTGAGTCAAGCCCGGTTTTGCGAGGTTTGTTCTTGGATGGGTGACCTGAAACTCATACCTACAAAAGCTTTTATTGTTTTTTTTTTCTTTTTCTTTTTTCAAGATACTTGGCAATAGTTTAACTAATTCATTTCTACCCAAATGGACCCAAATACTTTGCTAATTCTCCCATCAGCAGATTAGCTGCAAACTGCTAGCATTACTTCTTTGTTTGCCACTAACCGAATTGAGAAGATACCCCAATGTGAATGCTACTTTTTACCAAAGAAATGACACGTTGTCAGAACTACTGAGTGATCCTATTGACGTTTCATTATGCAATATTTTATTCCATAGAGTCTCGATATCCCGCTGGAATAAGTGTGGGCTCTTGGGATAAACACACTTCACAAGCGATAAAGGTGATGGTGAAGTGTAATGTTTAACTAGATGATGTACCTTTACTTTCGCAACAAAAGAAAAAGAAAGGACCGATTCAAAGTATGAAGAAATTTACACCAACTTAAGATATTTGAAGATTACAATTAGTATTGTAGTATATAATTGTAGTAAGGATACTTGTGTATGAGGATGTGAATAGCAAACAGCCTGACAGGATGCTCTGGTCCCAACAAAAACAGACTCTTTGACTTGTTAAACCGCTGAACTTGATCAGGTGCATTCTTGGTCMGTCGGCTCAACACTATGAACGTGTTTGGTGAAGGCTCCTGCAACAGAATCACGAATACTATACACTGTCGTGCTTTTGAGGACCATAGATCAACCCTAACGTTCCCCTATACTAGCAATACTCTGATCATTTATTTTGTCAGTCATTTAGTGATTTTCGGGTCACCGTTTAATCAAAGCTTTTCCAAAACAAGGGAGTTCTGGAGTTTATAACCGCGACAAGTTTCACAGCTCTGTAAAATAGAATGAAAGCAAATTCACGTTCTCCAGAGGACTACCCAGGAGTCCACCGTATTTTACAACTCCTAAAATTTGAGCCTCAGGCGGGCTTCTCTATCGACACAGCAAACCTACACAGTAATTTTAAAATGTACCTCAGAATCAGTATCTCAAAATCACGACATCAAATGCTTCAAATAGCAGAAATGAGGTTTTGCTCTTGTATCACGCGTTTTGTATCGAGAATCAGGGAGAAATGATGGCTGTTTGGAGAACTAAGGCTGTATATTTCGATAAATAATAAATACTGTAACAAGATACAAAACAATGTAGTACAATCGAGAAAGGAAAATGTGGTGAGGAGCAGAGAATATCTTGTAATTATCATCCACCTGTTTCATTCATCAAACTCTTAAAATAGAAACCCTTTCTAATACTTTTTTAGTTCCCAAAAGAAAAACACACTAGAAATATTAAAAAATGCTTTAGTCTTTGATGTATAATACTTACATCATGACCACTCTCAGAGCAATCATAGTCTTCTAGTGGCCGCCCAAGCAGTTGTGATGGACATCGTTTTAGCCTCGTTGTGTCTTTACTATGCGGTCTACGAACCACGCAATCCCGGTTCTTTGCTGTTTTGCAGGAGTTTGCGTTTGTTTTGAATACTGAGTTACTGGAATTCCTCGTGTAGCTATAAAGCTGTTCTTCATCCATTTATGACAACAGATAACGCGGTTAGTAGCGTAGGATATTAATAGCTTGTTCTACATGATAGGAAACCAATCCAACCTACTCGTTATACGAACTTCTGCAATACCACAAACTTCATCTCGATCCTCTTGAATTCGTCATGCTATACGAGAACCCAGGAATTCCTCATCTGTATACCTGCAGAACGTACAAATCCAAGGTTTAAGCTGTTCAATGTCTGCTGCAAATTTTGTTTAATTGACGTAAGAAAAGCGACCGTTTTGGCGATAAATAATGAATGATTTATGGGTAATTACATCTCGAATTTTCTGATTGGATACAGAGGTGTTGTTGAAAAGAAACGTACGCTGACATCGTAAAAGATTTTAAAACCATTAAGTTTTTGACAAGCACCCTTAAACATTTGATCCGACACCTTTATGTAAGTGAATCCTTTTACTCAATAACACGACGACTTTAAATACAAACTGACGTCGTCATAAATATCATTATGACAGCATTGAAATTCCTGATTGGGTTTTGTATCATCAGGTTTGATCTTACTAGTTATGATAGTTAATGAAATGGCGAGAAAACACAAATATTTACTATATATATATATATATATATACTTAATTAAACAAATAAAAAAAGAAAAAGAAAAGAAAAAAAAAGTTGGGTCACCTACGATTTTAGATAAGGGTAATTTCTACCGATCAATGAATGATCTGTTCATAGCAGAGAATAAGTAGATATATGTGACGAAGAAACGAACAGAAATATCATTTGAAAATTTTTAAAAAAAATTGTTTTTTTCCTCCTTAAAAATTTTTCCATAGAACTAGAGTTTCTAGTACTCAAAGACAAATTGGGAATACACTGGGAATATGTACAGATATCGATGAAATCAGTTTGGTCTCACATTCTTCAACTCCACCAAAACACGCTTTCTATTTATTGATTAGAATTTCAAGCCAAAAGTTATTTTTCTCAGCAATAAACGATTTAAATTTTGACGGCTATCTGACAGATAAACATGTTAAACCTATTTACAGACCACTCTAGGTTGAGTGTATATTGAAAAATATATACGTTGGATTGAATGGGATATGCTTATCGAAATAATCAAAAGAATATGTGTTGAGGTATTTGAGGTGAATATTTGAGTTGTTTTGTTTTCTTGTCGTGACCCGCGAGAGCTGGAACTTTATCTTCAGTGTACTTAGTGACTCGCTGCGATCTCCTTCCTTAGCGACCAGTCCTTTGAGGCCCAAGGAAAAGAATAGGTCGAGTTGTTTTTCTGTGCATTGTGAGACAATGTTAGAGGTAATTTTTCCAAGATGGCGTCTATTTGGTCCCCTAAAACAGTCCCACAATGCACTGCAATGTCTACTCGGCTCATATTGGTTCTAGATTATATTCAGTTTTAGTGGTTGCTGGTTTTAATGTTGTTCAATTCAGTAGTGTGCGGTCAGACGGCTAGCTGACAAATGACAAGACAAAAAATACAACAAACTCACTGTTAACGTGTTTATTTTTAAACTTTGATACTCATAATAACCTATAATACTCTAATACTGCCTAATATCATATATCACGTGATTGGTCTAATACTGCCTAATATCATATATCACGTGATTGGTACAATCGATAATTACGTGATAGAGTCCTTCAACACCATGGTAACCGTGATTCATATTATACGAGACTGGAAGTAAATAAGTACATTATATCTCGTAGAATGACCGAGATTTGAGAGATTTCTATGTACAAGGAGTTTCAAACAAAAGGTTTGTAAGTCAAGAGCAGAACAAGAATGACATTCCGGATATACGTCACGTAAAAGGCTAAGAATAGTGAAATGGTTTATGGCATAGGTAAGGTTTTAGCCATAGGAACTTCTGCTATTTCCAAAACAAAAAAATAATGCAATATGGCAATATTGACAACATTAACAAACATATCATCTATTACTTGTGCTAGTGATTAGTTCCTGATGCTTGGATGCTTTGAACAGGTTTTACAGCAGGCTTGTTGGTAAAAGTCATTTGTACAGTAACCAGCAATCTTAATTATACTACAATCGGCTATGACAGGATTGTCTTCACAAACTTGTGGGGTTGTGGGAATAACTGGCTCTTCTGTCGAAAAATAAACACATGAAAATCAGTGGAAGTTAGTAGTTACTTTTAACGATGCACCAAGAGAACTTCATCACCACTTCAGCAAAGTAAGGTTCATAAATACTTCAAATCATTTCAAACCTTGTCTTCCTAGTCAAGGGCGTAGGCAGGGAGGGCTATGCCCCCCTTTCTTGGCAACAAAATGGCAGCTTTTTGAAAATCATGCGGTAATTTTCATTTGCTTTTCTAAGGTTTGCGAAATTAAAACATAAAACGCAATGCCAGCCTTTTTTTTGTCCGTCGTTTTGAGGGCCCCCAAAAACGGCAGATTTTTGAATTTTGGTGTCCCCCTTCTAAAAATCCTGGCTACGTCCCTTGGTAGTGTTGAGCACAAGAGACAAGAACAAGTCCAAACTAACCTCCTTTAACTGTCAGAACCACTAAATCTGTAGCTTGACTATAATCGTTTGAGGCTCGACACTCGTATCGTCCCGAATCCCTGACACGCGCACTACTGATGGTGATTCTCTGGGAAGTAGTTGAAATACGTGGAGAATTGATATCAAACAGACTGCCATCCTTGTACCAGTAGACTTGGGGAGTTGGTTTCCCTTGAACATTACATCCTAGCACAACCTGCTGACCAGCTGATACTTCATGTCTTTTTGATGGTCGTATCTTGACTGACACTGGAACTGGAATCAATCAAGTTGATTCGTGACATTAGTTCTTCGTACATTGATCAATCTACTAACATACCATTTGTTTATTCTTTCTCTCCTTTAATTCCAGTGTTTTTCTATTTCATTATATTTCTCTTTTTACTATCTTCTTTTCTTTCTTTCTTTACTAACTCTATATTACATTGTATTAATATACAGGATTCCTAAGGATCTGAAAGGAAATTCCCACAGAGCAAGGCTCCAATATAGGGTTCCTTTCTATTCCACTCCACTTCATTGTTATTAACTACCTGTAACTCGGAAATTACTTACCAACAACTCTAAGTTCAGCGACTCTTCTGTCCATGGATCCAACAAAGTTGCCAGCAAAACAAGTGTATGTTCCTTCATCCTCAGGACGCACTTTGTCTATATATAACGTACCCTCTGCTAGCATCTGATAACGTTCTCCAAGTGAACTAACCGGAAACATACCTTTGCGCCAGGTTATCTTGGGTGGTGGGATACCTGTGGCTCTACATCGCAGATATACTTCAGACCCAACGAACCGAACTAAAGAAAGAACAGTTAGAATAGAGTTACACTGAATTAATGGCATAATAACCTATATCTCACCCATTGGCATGGTATGGTAATCTATATCTCACCCATTGGCATGGTATGGTAATCTATATCTCACCCATTGGCATGGTATGGTAANCCATTGGCATGGTATGGTAATCTATATCTCACCCATTGGCATGGTATGGTAATCTATATCTCACCCATTGGCATGGTATGGTAATCTATATCTCAACCATTGGCATGGTATGGTAATCTATATCTCAACCATTGGCATGGTATGGTAATCTATATCTCAACCAATGGCATGGTATGGTAATTTATATCTCACCCATAGCATGGTATGGTAACCTATATCTCACCCATGGTATGGTGTAACGTACCTTTATCCCTAGGAGCTTCTACTATTTTAGCGGGTATTTTGATGATAGTAGTAGGTGCAATAGTGATTCTTGGTCTGGTTCGTCTCGTTGTGGTATCTTCATCTGGGTGTCGTTGAGTAATCACTTCACTTGGTTCGGTTGTTGGACGTTTCGTGATCTTTACTTCTGTTCTCTTTTTCGTGCTTTGTTTTGTTACCCTTTGTTTGGTCGTTACATCGTTGGTAGTTTGCCTTTCCGTCGTTGGTTTCTCGGTAGTTCGTCGTTTTGTCGTTGGCTTCTCGGTAGTTCGTCGTTTTGTCGTTGGCTTCTCGGTAGTTTGCCTTTCTGTCGTTGGCCTCTCGGTAGTTTGTCTCTCTGTCGTTGGCTTCTCGGTGGTTTGTCTCATTGTCGTTTGCCTCTCCGTAGTTCGCCTTCTAGTCGTTGGCCTCTCGGTAGTTGGTCTCTCTGTCGTTGGCCTCTCGGTAGTTGGTCTTTCCGTCGTTGGCTTTTCGGTGATTCTTTCCCGTGGGGTCAAAGTGACTGTGGAAAAAATTCTAAAATGATCAATAAATCCAGCAAAAATAAAACCCTTGAAAGCAGTGAAATAATCCCGCTCACCTGATTGACAGCTCTGTACAGTACAGACCTCCACTTCGGTTGGCTTTGTTTTCTGGTCACACCACCTTTCGTCTGGAACTTCACTAGAATCAGCAAAGCACTTGACTTTTCTTCGCCTTATTCCGATTCCACAAGATTTTGAACACTAAAACAAGAAAATTTAAACAAGATTTATAAGCAGCAAAATTGACCTACCTCCAAGCACTTCTGGTTACCGATCGTTTTCTGGACAGACATGATCGTCTGCACATGCGAAGAAGGTGGAAGCTCTGAATCTTACCGGTTGCCATGGATATATGTACCATCCAGCCTGACAAGGTTTGGTAGAACACTTCCTCACTGATGGCATGGCGTATGAAGCATTACACTGGTCACGTGATATAATCTTCAACATGTTGATCTCACGCACTGCGCAGATTACATTGCGCATCTGCATGCCGACACCACAGGACGCGGTACACTAAAATGAGAGAGCAAAACAGTCGTTAGTGCCTGTGACGCATTAGTGACGTCACATGACAATGCAGTGACAACGAATGAGACTGGGTTGGAGTCTACTCACCCCACTCCACTGAGAGCCGTGCCACATTGGCGGACAAGCTTTGGAGCTGGAACATTCTTTACGACTAGTAGGTCTAGTTCGATTGTCACACAACGTGTCAGGATATTTTTGATTGTGATCGGTCACGCTCACGCAATACACCATTCTTGTGCTGATTCCACGGCCACATTTTGGATAACACTGAAAATAAACCAACAAAGAGACAAAATTACTTTAAAACGTAAAATAGCGAGAAATGCAATACGATACGTCATTCCTTACCAGGCTCCAGTCAGAAGCAATCCATTTGACCGTGCAGGGGCCTGGGTTGCACCTTGCAGTAGTGGTGGGTTTAATATTGACGTCACAGCCTTCGTCTGGCAGATATATGTTGTCATTAACGTTGATAGAGACTTGACGACATCGAACTTTACGAGTGATAATGCCATTACCACACGACACTGAGCACTGAATAACATGAAGATGTGAACACAGTCAGCAAAATAAATTACCTACCCGCGAAAATATATATAAAGCACAGCACATCATAGTATGTTATAGTATGGACAAACATAGTAATACATGGTATAGCACAGTACAACACATCATAGTATGTTATAGTATAAACATAGTAATACATGGTATAGCACAGTACAACACATTATAGTATGTTATAGTATAAACATAGTAATACATGGTATAGCACAGTACAACACATCATAGTATGTTATAGTATGAACAAACATAGTAATACATGGTATAGCACAGTACAACACATCATAGTATGTT